TGCTTGCAGCACTCCAACCTCCGTCCCACCCCAGACCCACCTCAATCTTGAGACTTATCACTACATTCAGCAAGTCTATCACAAAGCTGACACGACAAATGATGACGCAATGGTCTCCACCTCCCACAGTACTCCTGAAAGTTTCACAATGATGCCAATGTTGCATTTGCAAGCATCAACAGCATGGTGCCATCACACTGACCAGCATTTTAATACTAAGCATGTTCAATCTACATGTATTGCAAATGGACAGTGAAATTATTACTAATTCAATCTAGCTTGCAAGTGCATGCTTCAGTTATTTGCCACTTCAGTATCCAATCATCCAGTTGAAGTGAATCCTGCGCTTTCACCCACCAAACTGATATTTATGCTGCCACCCTATGCATTGATCCAAACATTTTCTATTTGCAGTCAGCATTTACAGAACAGCAAATGATGGGAACTCATGCAGTTCAAAGTGGACATCATCAGCGCTAAGCTCCACCTGGTTGCCAGGTACTCCAACAAAACCTCCAATGACACATTTTACTTTGCACTGTTCCAGCAGCCCATTTCCACCCATTCCACTCTTGGAGACCGATCACGTTGAACTTTGCCTCCAATTGTTCTCCCCTCTCCCTGAGCCCCAATATTACACCTCATTGATGTCTGTGGAGGCTTGGTGGTGGTCACTGTCAATCACCACCTATCCACCATACGCTACCATGTCCTTGAATGCTGACACGCATATTCCCATCATACCTTGAGAATCTCCCCATCACTGTCTTTGGTCCACGTCAACGCTCGCTTCTTCTTTCCCCACATGCATGACTGCACCACCTCCTCAAGGCATTGAGTCTCCCATTGCTCTTACAGCTCCCCCACTTTGTACCCACCCTTTTCAATGATTGATGCATAGACCTCCAGGACTGTATTCTCCTCATACTTGTGAGCGACTTCAACAACGGCCCCTAGAAATGACTGTGACTGACCAGACTCCTGACCACTATCTCTGCAGCTCCCCGACTGATGATATGCAATTCCCCTGACTGCTTGTAATGACCGTACAGGTCAGATTATAGTCAGACCTCCTGACTGTGATTGGCTAGTTGCTGCTAAGCTGCAGAGTGTGCCTGTGACTGATGGTGCCAGGACTCCCTTATTGACAGAAACTCAACCCTAAACTGGACTGAGGTCAAGACCCTGCCCATTTCTCTGTATGACCATTTGGTCAAAGTAACTTGCTTGACTGGCACTACATCCACGAACATTCACTTTATCCACCACTGACATTCAGTAACAGCAGTGTGCACTGCAAAAATTCACTAGGGCTCCTTCCAAACACACAACCACTTCCATCTAGAAGGGCAAGGGCAGCAGAGACATTGGCCACAATCTCCTGCAAGTTCCCCTCCAAAACACTCACCTCCTGACTGAAAATATATCATTGTTCCATTCGGGATCAAGGAGGTAATATGTATGTAGAGCCAAAAGACATAGCTGAGATTTTAATGAGTACTTTGCACCTGTATTCACTGTAGAGGAGGTCGATATTCACATAGAAATCGATGAGGGAGACTGTGGCATACTTGAATGAATCAACCTGGAGAGACAGCAGCTATTAGCAGTTAAAGCAGGCTTGAAAGTGGATAAACCCCCAGACCCAGATGAGGCATATTTCAGGAAATTGCAGCAGCTTGAACCCTCTCGGACCACAGCAGAGGGGTGGGGGTGCCAGAGGTCTGGAGGACAGCTAGAGTGGTACCACTATTCAAGAAGGATGGTAGAGATAAGCCAGGAAACTACAGGCCAGTGCGACTTCTGAGATACAGAATGAATTAAAACTTGAAGAGGTAAGGATTGATCAAGAATAGTCAGTATTTTTTTGTAAGGGGGCGATCATGTCTAACAAATTTGATTCAATTTTTCAAGGAGGTCACCAGGTGTGGTGATGAGGGTAATGCAGTAGATGCAGTCTACATGGACTTCAGTAATACTTTTGTCAAGGTCTCACATGGCAGACGGGTTAAGCAGCCAAGAATCAATGGTATCCAGGGCAATTTGGCAAATTGGATCCAGAATTGATTTAGTGGCAGGAAGCTCAGAATGATAGTCAAAGACTTTTTATGAATGGAATCCTAGTGGGCTTTCTAGACCTTGGTAATTAAAGGAATGGCATGGCCACTTCTTTAAAACACTGCTTCTGCCTCAACTAGAGTTCTGTCTCACAAAGGTAGTCACTCTACAACTTTCTGCCTCTCTACCTTACTTTCTTCCAATAGGACTCTCTTTAAAGCCTTTCTCTTTGACCAACCTTTTGGTCATTGAACCTAATATCATTACATGTGGCTTCCTGCTGTTACCACGGAGATGGGAGGGGCCGACTGTTGCTCTAGTCCCATTATTCCATAGGTCACACCACTAAATAAAAATGTTACAACCACGTGCTGATGTGCCTAATCATTATTTTTCTTCATAGTAGACTTAGAATGATAAGGTCCATCAGCCAGGTTTTTTTGAAAAACACAATTATTGACTTCTAAAACAAAACTAATTCAATGAGGATGCAGAATTGACTAACACACAATTTGTAAAATGAATATATAAATGTTCACCCATTAACTAACCTGAAACACACCTATAAGTTCATTCATATACACACACACACACAAATATACATATATCAGGTAAAGAAGACATAAAAGGGCTTCCTCTCTTGTTATGGACAAGACCGTATCTTCTCAAAACATGTTATGGAGTTAGCCTAGATCTTAACATTTTCTTAATTTAAAGGTAAGTGTAAAGCATTACATTCCAGGTGCAATTTCACTGATCAAACTATTCAACTTTAAGCAAAACACACTTAATTTTTACACTACAGTTAAAATACAGACAAAAAGAAAAGAATTGGCTTAACTGTAACTGTTAATGCTTAACAAAATTAGATAACTGTTCCAGTATAGTAACATCCCATAAACACACACTTTGCAAAGGCAAATTCAGTAAAATATATTGTGTCACCTGCGATTCTTGCTGCAGAAGAGAAGCCCAGCTTTAGCTATAACAGAGGGAGGAAAAGCAGCTTCCACATCCAGATTTAAATCCCAGCAACTACAGAAAGCTAAAACTAAAATTCCTGGTTCTGTTCGAGCTTGACTCCACCCATTCAAGCAGTTTCTATTGTTCCAACTTTAAAAAGAAACGAAGACCTCACAAACTTTATTGGCTTTGAACAGTCTGCTCGGCACCTCCGTTGCAACTTTTCTTCATAAAGAAAGGACAAAATACACCTCTTAAATCCATAGTATCGTCACACTTTGCAATGTTTGTTTTTTTTAAAAAAAGGAAACATTCATTTTCTGGATTAAGGGTGGTTGTTCTTGAAGGCAAAAACAGATAAGGTGCAGAAAAAAAAAATCAAAAAATTGCAGATGCTGGAAATCTTAAACAAAAACAAAAATAGTTGGAGAAACCCAGCAGGTCTGGCAGCATCTGTGGAGAGAAAGCAGAGTCAACATTTTGGGTCCAGTGACCCTTCTTCAGAACTGGCGTAGAGAACAGGTGGATAAGTTTTAAAGTTTTCCAAAGTCTGTTGAAAAGGTCAGATCACGAATCACACATGGTGTACCTGGGGTTTTGGAAGCCACAGCTTTCTCAGCAAATGCAAAACTGAGAGGTTCTTTCAGTCATTCTTCCAGAAGAATAATCAGGTTTCACCATGATTTCACAGCAAAGATGTTTCAGCAACAGAGGCATTAGCTGACCAGTTTGTTCTGTAGTAGGCCCCCCTCAATTGAAAAATCCAAAAACAAATACTAAGCCTGAAAACACTGTTCAAACTGAACAGCTATTAAAGCTTATAGGTATTTTCTGTGAAGTAAGTTTAAGCAACTGAGGTCAGGAATGATCTGGATCCATGTAATTTCCAAGAAATGTTGGTAGTTCTAATGTGTCTTTTCATTGACCATTTTAAAAAATCCAGCCATTTCCAAAATCTTTGAAACTCAAATCCACAAAATTATTACAAATAAAGCATCTTCATAACAATGTTGTCTTCTTTTTATAATGCTCCAAGAAACAGATTGCAACATTTTATTGTGTTACAAGTCCTATACAAATATATGATTCAGTTACTGTTTGCTACAACTTTGTTTTTGTAATCTATGCCCAAGACAATCCATCAGTTTTTCAACCACTTTCTCAAGAACTCTGTGACTTGCAATGATTTGTATACATACACCTCCAGATCCATCTGCTACTGCATCCCCTTTGGAATTGCACATCCACATCCATATCATTAATTTATCAAGAAAAATGGTGGTCTTCATACTGACTCCTAGGGAATCGCTCCAGTCTACTATCTGCTCAGCAAACTTTGCATTGATAGTATCTTTTTACTGCACTAGTTTCAATTTTCAGCCACTTGATGAAATGCTTTTGGAAGCCCATGCACACCATCTCAACCTCATTATCCTTACAAACCAATACAGTTACATCATCCAAAAACTCAACACATTTCAGGCAATATCTTACAACAGATTGAAGTCTTAATGCAGAGGGATAAGAGGAATTTTGTGATTCTGTGGTTCCCTGATAACCATTTTAATGGTCATTTGACTAGTACACCAACTGGTTCTGCACAAGATTTACCAGTTAAGTTATTTGTCTGCAGAAAAATGGGTGAACACATGAGTGGGCATGTTTTTGCACATAAATAAATGCAAACAACTAGTCTAAGACTCAAAAACAGGAATTGCAAAAGAAAGTCAGCAGGTCTGACACTATCTGTGGGGAGAAAGCAGAGTTAACATTTTGAGTCCAATGACTCTTCATCAGTGCTGATAGCAGCTAGTAAAAGGTAGCATTTATAGTGAAGATGGAGTTGTTGGTGAGGGGTGATGAGCAGATAGGTGGAGACGGAGCTCAGAGAGAGAGAGATATATGAAAGAGGTAGGTGGGTAAGGGGATTTTTGATAGTAAGCCAGAACAGAGAGATGCTGATGAAGTCTAAGACTCACCTGCCATAGTGCATGATTGAGGTATAATCATACGCTGTGCCCAGATTATTTGTTTGCAAAGCATTAAAATTATATCGTAGCTCTGTGAAGAAAACAAATTGGGAATTAATTAAAACAGATCTGTTTTTCTTTAACCCATAAATACCAATATAAAAAAAAAACTTGAAAAGGCTGAACAACAACCTTGGAAAAATTAGACAACTTTTTAAAAAAGCTGACACTGTCTCAAGTGAGCTGCTGAAAACAGCACCTACTATCCACTTGATGTCAAAGTGAGAAAAAGGGGCACCTGGAGGCAAACAGCCTCGCTTGAGTTACCTGGAAAATAGCGATGACACACAAAGCTACAACTGCAGATTCCATAGAAAGCTGGGTTTGAAAAAAAATTTCAACCTGGACTCACAGGGAAGTCATAAGTTAATTGATGTATATTGCTGTTTGGAGTCTGAGGCTTAATAATTAGAATGGTAAAAAACATTAAAATTCATAACTATTACCAACAAAACACAAATGAGCAGTTGCTGAGTTTTACTTTGCATTTTCACAACGTGTATTAAGTTTTAGTAGGGTTTGTTTGTATTGGTATGGTTTATTAATAGTAGTGAGCTTTACTATAATGACAAATGCTTGCTACCAGTGGTAAGGTTTATTACCATTGGCAAAGTTTATTAGTGGTTGAAAAGGTTACATATTAATAAAGAAATAATACCAGGTCAGCTCCTACAAGAGATGGCCCTGCACAAAATGGGAACTCCACGATGATTCCCCAATTCGGAATCACTATTCATGGAGGAATTGTGGTCAGTTGCAGTAGCCTGAGCTCTGGGTTTTAGAACTTTAGCAATGGCTGGTATCACTGCAGTTCATTTGTGAGGCTAAGAATTACACGGATAACATGTTTATAGATATATGTACTCCATAACTTAAACGCACAAAGGGAGATAGGGATTTGACCACCAGACTGTCAAATTGTAAAAGGTAGGGAATGCAGAGGTCACATGAGTGCATTCCACTCTGTAATTTTCAGTTCTGAATAATAATGAGGGTGATAATTTATCTGCGGTTTGTAGCCAGAGTCACATCCATGTCACCATGGGTAACTGAGCAGTACGAGGAGGGTGGAAGAAAAACTGGCAGAGAAATATTGATTGGGGGATTTTATAGTGAGGGGATTGAAAGGTGCTTCTGCAGCCTCAGGTATGAATCCAGACTGATGTGTTGCCTCTGATGTGCTTTGTGGTTTTCTACATGTTAGCTCATATGACTAGACAGTTTACATGCAGGAAGGGTATTCCCGATGGTTGGCTATCCAGCACCAAGTGTCATAGTTTAAGTATAAGGGGTAAACCTTTTAGGACCGAGATAAGAGTGACAAACCTATGGAATTCACTGACATAGAAAGTGGTGGGGGTCAAACCATTATGTAGTTTCAAGAAGGGGTAGATACTGCTTTTGAGGCTAAAGGGATCAAGGGATATGGGGGAGTGCAGAATTAGGTACTGAGCTTGATAATCATATGAATGGTGGAGCAGGCTTGAGAGGTCAAATGCCTTATTCCTGCTCCCATTTTTTATGTTTTTATGCACTTTATACAACAAAGAGTCAGGGTTCTTATTGAGAAGTTTATTAGGAACACCAACCATTTGAGAGGCTACAATATTACAGACTTACATGCATAGTTTGGGTTTTATGGTCATGGTGCATTACACATGTACCTAATTGATTGATGGCACTACACTGACTCCATTACACAGAGAAAACGACTGAAGACAAGATGCTTCATGCTGAAACAACACATGTTGTGATATCATGTAACTGCCTGAGATCTTGGGCTTTATAAAGAGTACAAAAGGATAGATGTTATGGTGACAACTTATTTTTAAAAAACTTGCATTCACCAAATACTTTAATTGATGCAGAAAATATTTACAAGAATCCTTCTAGGTTTGAGAGACTTCAGCTATGTAGATAGATCAAAGAAACAGGATATGTTCTCCTTGGAGAAGATAGAGTCACATAGCATGGAAACCGACCCTTTGGTCCAACTAGTCCTTGCCGACTAAGTTTCCCAAACTAAACGCCTCCCACTTGCTGTCTTTGTTTCCAATTACTACATCTCTAATTTCATCTGCCACCAGTCCAATGTCCACTCTTGCCTCTCTCTTACCTTTTATATATCTAATAAAAAATCTCTTGCAATCTTTTCTCATGTTACTGGCTAGCTTACTTTCATATTTCATCTTCTTCCCCACTCATTACATTTTTAGTTGTACTCCGCTAGTTTTTAAAAGCTTCCCATTAATCTTCAACATATTGTATATTTTTTGTTTTGCTTTTATGTTGTCCTTGACTTCCCCTGTCAGCTATGGCTGCCTTGCCCTCTCCCCAGTATGTTTCTTCTTCCTTGGGATGGATTTCTGCTGTGTCTCCTGAATTACCTCAGAAACTCCTGCCATTGCTGCTGCACTGTCTTCTTTACCAGGCTCCCCTTCAAATCAACTCCGGCCATCTCGTCCCTCCTGTTGTAGTTACCTTTACTCATTTGTTATGAGTACATCTGATTCCAGCTTTTCCCTCTCAAATTGCAGGGTGAATTCTAACATACTATGGTCACTGTTCCCTACAGGTTCCTTCACCTTAAGCTCCCTAAATCAAGTCTGCCTCATTACACATCACCAAGTCCAGAATTGCCTGTTCCCTACTGGGCTTTACCACAAACTGCTCCAACAAAACCATCTCATAGACATTCCACAAATTCCTTTGCTTGGGATCTGCTACCAACCTGATTTTTCATGTCCAACTGCATACTGAACTCTGCTGTGATTATTATCATACTGTCTTTCTTAACTTGCCTTTTCTATCTCCGTGTTTATTTTCAGCGATTAAGAGATTTATTAGAGATATTTTAAATCATGATGGGATTGGACAGAGTGGATAGACAAGTATTTCCCCTTAGCATAAAGATTGAGAATTATAGCTAACAGATTTAAGAGTAAGGGTTTCTCACTCTCTTCAGTCCTGTCACACTTTTAAATATACATATTCAAAGGTAATTGAGTACAGCTGTCTACTGTAGAGTCTTACTCCCATTCCATTGCAGGATTCTCTCTGGTTTGTTCTTTTGCTCTACTCTGCCCTGCTGATGTCAGCGTAACATCATCAGTTACGCCATCCTCATGTGTATATACAAATTCCATTATACAACATCTGACCTGTTCATTGTAGATGGTGTAAGGGCTTTGGGGAATCAGGTGAGATACTCACTGTAGAATTTCCATTCTCTGACCTGCTCTTGTAGCCACAGTCCATTACTTTGTCAATGGTAAACCCCCAAGATGTTTCTAGTTGGGGATTCAGTGATTCTAATGCATCGAATATAAAGGGAAAATGGTTAGATTTTTTTATGTTGGAAACGGTCATTGTCTGGCACTTGTGTATCATGAATATACTTGCCAATTAACAGGCTAAGCCTGAATATTGTCCAGGACCTGCTGCATATGGACACTGACTGCTTCAATACCTGAGGAGTCGCAGAGGGTGTTTTTTCCATGCATGTAATTAAATATATATTTCAAATATATATTTCCTTAATTTACTCACTGTGCAAGTAAAACACCCAATTAGCTAATAAGACTATTTAATAAATTATCTAAAGTAGATTGTAACATTATGTGCATATTCTACATTCCCATGGAGAGGGATGCCTGATGGTGAGTCTAACCTGACAGTCGCTACATCTCAGACACTTTGCAAGACTAAGAAGTGGTAACTTCAGTCAGTATGGTAATTGAACCTGCACAGCTTGCACCACTCTATTATAAACTAGTCAACCAGACAACTGAGTTAACCACGTCCCCCAAATATTATTACAGCAGTAAACAGGTTTAACTTGCTCTCAGTACTGAACAGCTAAAATAATATATTTTATGGTAAGTTTAACTGGGCATATATAAACACTCATGAACCAAACTAGATGTTCTTACCAGGTATAACATTACGCATAAAAATCCTGACATATTTATTACGATCACTCCTGCAATGTTCATGGTGGAAGCCAATTGCATGTAGGAATTCATGTGCTATCACACCAAATTGCATACACTGTGGTATTTGCAATGACAATTTCTGTTGATATCCTCTGTATCCTATCACTGCAAAACACCTAAGTAAATGAGAATTAAAAACATAGATTATTTTTTGTAATCCAAAAACTAAAACAATACCAAATTTGGACAAAATTAATGTGTAGATCTCCAACAGAAGATTTGGTAAATGCATGTAATTTAGTGGAACTGATTCATTCAAGCCAGGAGATTTCTAGTTTATTGTCCAATTTATGATTAGTCAGCTGATCTCAGCTTGAATTATAGTTAGCTACAGCAATGTCTTTGTAATCCCTAAAAGAGAAATAAAAACTGTTTCTGTTCTTAACTAGCAGCAACTCATCTTGAAAGGTGTATTTCTAGAGATATTAAAATCAAGTTTAGCTATGATGGATCCCATTGTTGTTATGCCACTACCACTTAAATCCCATTTCCCTCTCTGCTTCAATCACTTTTAAGTGGTTGTGGAGTGACCTGTAGCATAGCATTTGCTGAGAATGTATTCATCTGGATCTGTTCATGTATACTTTGCGATTTCCTACCGAAAAGTGTTTGCTCAAATATGAATGGATGAAGGATTATGCTATAAAGATATGACTTGGTATCATGTTTTGCACTTCTTGTACTGCCAAACACTAAAAAAAATGCTGCTATTAGCCAGCATTCAATAGTATAAATGAAGAAGTGAAGTGTGAATCTGCATTCTGCCCTCTCTATTAGAGGGCAGGAGTCAAAACATTTTGTTTCAAGGCGTCCTCTTGAGATTTCCTCAATGGTTACTTTTGATTTTTGGGAACTAAGTTTTGATCTTAGGGGCACTTTTCATTCTCTCTAACTCCTTTATTATTTGATGATGCACACATGCAGTAATATCACTTTCGGTATTTTTGCTGATATACCGGGTACTTGCATTCACCAGTAGCAGAATTAGAAGATTTCATCAATATGCTCAATAATTATCATCACTTCTTTAAACATAAAGCCACAAAACTCAAGGAAAGCATTGGTTTCTAGATACCACAGTATTTAAATTGTCATAAAACAAGTATAAGGAATAAATACTTTAAGATAAAGCTGGCACACATTTGTACACAAAACACCATAGCCCTAAACACAAACTGCTTCCCCAAGAGCCTCAAGTGGAATTTCAAGCTTAAACTTGGGAGTTCTAGGGCAGAAATATCCACCATGGAACTGTGACAGAATTGTAGCAACTATACTCCAGCTCTCACAGCAACACCCCAACCTCATACCAACCAACCCACTTTTGTTGTTCCACTGAAGGGGTCACAACAATTTTCAAGCCTTAAAATGGAGTCACTGTGGGAAAATCTTTGAAAAGCAATGCTTAATTTGTTTTTCACTGATTTCCATTGTAGAGATGGTTGCATGTTTGTCTCTAACATAGTCACCGCACCTCAAGTAATTTACAACAAGCGAGACAACTTGACAACTTAAATCTGTTTTGTAATAAATTATTGTCTCTGTTTATTATATAGCATCTACAACATTTTCCCCTATTCAATAGCACCTGAGCTTCTGCAGCATTAAGCTAGAGACTCCACATTCATTTGCAAGCAGTTCATTATCTCAGTGACTTCAATCTTTCCTGGCTCCCAGTTGGCTAAGTATAATATTATTAAAAAAATATAAATCATCTATCTCCCATTCACCATTTTCTCTCAACTCTAATCTTGCTGGGTTACATCGAGTAAATACTTCTCATCAACATATCAACCCCCACTTTCTACTATACTGAACAGTTTGTAGCATAGTTTCATTAGAGTCCCTAAAGCTTTTAGAATTTTCCAGAGGTTTGACTTCAAAAATCAGCTGCCTATCACCTGTTAGAACTTCTGCTTCAGTTCAAATGGAACAGAGATATCCAACAGCTCTTTACTCCTAATTGAGTCCACAATACAGAATGAATATAGTTCAGGTGTCTTTTTGGCAATATAGCTGGAAGCAGTACTACCTATCACACACATGCACACACAATTTCTCCACTGCCTGTAACTTTTAAACTCATCCTCCGTGACCCTTGATTCCTTTGTGGAGGTGTTGGATGAGCTACTCTGCAGTTCAGGAGTTGGAGACAGTTTTCTCTCTTCAAACCTTTCTAAGGTTTTCTGAGAAATATCACTGAAATGTACAGGCAATTGGCTTGTAAAATGCAATCAGAGTTATCAACCCAGAGTTAGGGATTTTGATATTTTCAGCAGATGTTGTCACATGTTGTCTAAGTGTACACACCTTAACCAATTGCCATTTTAAAATTGTATAATTAAAAGGCAATTGGGTTCAGCATTGTGGGGATCATGTGACCAACCCACCTGGAAGGTTGGAGGCAGAAACAGCGCTTATCAAGATATACATTCACATTTCAGATGAACAGCTGTCTGTAGCCCATCTCAAAAGGTTACATGGGAAGACACTAACATTTTTTCCCCCCCACAGGATACAGGTAACTTGCAATTCTAACAAATCAGAATTTTTCCTTGAGACAATTGGACTCTGGGGCATCTGTGAGATTGCCACTCCTTGGAAAATCTTAAATAAGGCAAGTGAACCTATTATCACCCATATTTTTGCATTTGGTGCACCTGGAGAGCAGCTTAGTGTCTGAAAAGGTAACTATAGGGATTGTCCATAGTTTAACAGTAGATTGAGTTGCCCTACTCTTAGGGAATGATTTGGGAGGAGTTGAGGTAGCAGGTTCTACAGTAGTCTCAGAAAGGCTAAGTGAGATCAAGCACACAAAGCAGAGATAGGATGAGGTCTGGGATTTTCTTTTCTTTCATCTGAAGTGATCTGAGAGATGGCTAGACAAAGTCCATTATTGAAATTGAAGTGGCACCACTGATAGTCAGTTGGCTGTTTGAAACTTTCTTTATGGATTTGGATAATCCATAGGAAGTTGGAACAGTGTTCCAATAAATATGCCTACTGCTCCACAACTCTTCAAAAACTTGTATAAGTGTGTAAGAATCCCAATGAAACTATTAAAATGACTGATTTGGCTGACTAATAGCCAGAACAAAAGAAAATCACACCTATTTTCTTCAGTAATACTAATAGTTTTATTTACTGTCACAACGCAATTTCAACAACAAAAACTTGAAGAGTACAAAGAAAGGGTTTCTAATTTATATAAGTTAGCACAACTCAACTATACGCAACACTTGATTTTTTCAAGTTGCAAAATTCTTCCCTTTTTCAGTTTATGGTCCAAAAATAAAGTAAAAATAAGTGGTATCTCACATACCGTCTAAGAAAATGAAATGTTGTTTTCAAATACATTTCATGATCAAGAAATATAATACATATACAATACAAAACATTACAGACAGTCATCCTTGCTAATTTTTATGCAATATTTAAACAACTTGATGTCATTTATTTCCTAATTTTAAAAAATATGATGAAGAATGTGATTAAAGAAAATGTGTCACTCTTAGCAATGAGAACAATTTCTATACTGAATGGTTGAATCAATAAATTCCACCTTAACAATCCAGTATTTTGGGCCTTCAATTTCACTACAAAAATGAACAGATTAAGGTCAGTGAACATTCGTGTTTCTTTGCAAACATGTTGGACACAGTGGTATGGTGACTATACCACTCTTGCCTGATTTGTAACAAAGTACACCAGTAGAGGTGAAGTTTGGCATAAACTTCCAATAAGACCCACACGATCCGTGAAAAATTCATTACTTCCTGTTTCGTTTTACCCTTGCCTGACAATATATTCTATGTTATTAGTGCTTTCTCAAATTTTGCAATTTGAGGAAAACGTTTTTCACCCAGAGGATGATAGGAATCTGGAATTCACTTCCTGGAAGAGTAGTTGAGGTGGGAAACCTCACAATTTAAAAAAAAATCCTTGAATGTTATGACATTTCAAGTGTTCATCCAAGGCTACGAGTTAAGTGCTGGAAAGTGGGACGAGTGCAGATTTAAAGTAGTTTGTGTCAGCGTGGATTTTATGAGACGAAAGGCCTCTTCTGTACTGTAGGATTCTATGATTCTAAGATTTCTTCCCAAGGCAGTTAATTAGTTGTTTAAACAGATCTTCTAATTATTTTACATGTACTTCTCAAGTATCATTATGTATTACAACGTTGTCTAAATAAACTACATAGCTTGGCACTTTGGTACGACTTGATTCACAAGTCTTTGGAAAGTAGTTGGGGCATTTTAAAACTCAAATGGCACGAAATGTCAACATTGATATAAACCATGTGGTGCAATCCAAGCTGATGTCTCCTTAGCTTTTTATATTGATGATATTTGCCAGCACCCCTTTAAATAGATCAAACTTAGAAAGAAATGAAGTATTGCAATGTTTATCAATACAATCTTCTAACTGAGGAACTTGGGTACTAAGCTATTTTCATTATTGCATTCACTTTTCTGGAACTTATGCAGAATGTCGTTCAATTTAGAAACATGTCCAATTTAGGAACTAATACTACTGGTGAGCTCCACTGCTTTGGGTAGGTTCAATCAGCTGATTGTGTAACTTGAATTGAATTTGTTTCTCCTAGCTTTATATTGTCTGTGATGCTTTATCGCCTGACACACTTGCTCTTTCTCATCTTCTACCCTATGATGATATTGCTTCAACATGAATCACCAAGCTCCATCTAAACAATTTTGCATTTGAGGTTTAAATGTTTCAACAAAAGCTGACATTATTGTCAGTATATATTATTTCTTTGCAATCTGTCAGGCATAGGTCTAAAAATGTTGAAGAGCCAACAATAATCCCATTTACAGGACAACGTGGTGCAGAGCTGGATGAACACAGCAGGCCAAGCAGCATCATAGGAGCAAAAAGGCTGACGTTTCAGGCCTAGACCCTTCATCAGAAATGGGGGAGGGGAAGGGGGTTCTGAAATAAATAGGGAGAGAGGGGGAGGCAGATAGAAGATGGATAGAGGAGAAGATCGGTGGAGAGGAAACAGACAGGTTAAAGAGGCGGGGGTGGAGCCAGTAAAGGTGAGTGTAGGTGGGGAGGTAGGGAGGGGTGGGTCAGTCCAGGGAGGACGGACAGG